GCACGTGTGGGCTGGCTCCGTAACATGGTCCTTCTGTGCTCTCTCCCCACAGGCTTTGTAGAGTGGCTGCTGCAGCTCAGCATCTCCTCGCTCTCCCTGGGCTCCAATTACCAGAGGAAGAAGACAGCCCTGCTCCTCCTGTCAGCAGTTTTGGAGACCTGCACAGACACCTGGAGCCCCGAACGGAAGAAGGGGCAGCCTCCACGTGAGTAGGGGCCGCGAGCCTGGTGTCACCGCTTGGCCACGGGTGCCTCCACCTCCGTGTCCCCGCAGAGACCATGGCCGCGCTGCTGAGCTACGCCAGGCACCAGGGCTGCTGGGACTTCTTCTCGCAGTCCAACCTGCTGGCGCTGCTGAGCTGCTTGCAGGACAGCACCAATGAGGTGAGCGCCCCGTGGGCCCGGCGCGTCCCAGGCCCATGGCCCCAGCTGGGCACAGGCAGCAGAGAGCGCAGAGCAGCTAGAGAACCTCTCCCGTGCCTGTGCTCACACTGCTGGCACCTACCTCTGCTCAAGTTGGTGTTCCCTGTTATGCTCCACTGTCTTGGCAGATCAGAGATTTGGCTTCGGAGCTGCTCATCCGCTACTTCCCATCACCTTTGCCTGAGCCCATGGTCCAGGCTCTGTTCCAGCTGGCCCAGGAAGCCCTGAGCAGCTCCCGCGTGCAGGAGGCTGAAGCTGGAGCTGTGCTGATGAAGACAATTCTGCAGAAGTAGGACCTTGTGGGTCCCCACCCCGGGGCATGGGCTGACTGCAGCCAGCGTGGTTTGGGTTTAAAATAGCCTTGAGCAGTGATGGCCGGTGGTGGCCTTGCATAGGGCCGGGTGCAGGCCCCAAGCTGTGGGAGGAAGGCTCATCCCAACGCACACCCAGCAGAAAGCTCCCCCGTGCCAGCATTCACCTCTTCCTTCAGGTCAGACAGCAGCACCGTGAGGAGCTTGTCCCTGGAGGCTGGAGCGAGCCCGGCACCGCAGCCACCAGGGCTGTGCTTCGCTCAGCACCTGCTGCATGTGCTGCAGGCCCAGCACGCCGCCGCGCGCCAGGACTTGCTGCAGGCAGCAGCCACCAAGCCAATGCACGGTACGTCCCCCACCCGAGGGTCTTTTGGTGAGCCACCTAAAGCAAGGGGTGCAAGGGTGGATGAGCTGGGGTTGCTCCTACTGCCACCATAACCAGAGCACCGTGTTTGCCAGGAGTGATCGCAGCCCTGCGGAGGTGCCTCCTGCAGGTGCCAGAGGTGGCTGTGTCCATGCGGGCGGCAGAGTGGGCGCAGAGCTGGCGGGAGCTCCTCACCAGCCTGGTGGCCACAGCAAGGGACATCACCTCCTTCCTGCTGGGCGCCCTGCAGAGCGGGCAGGGCCCTGGCACTGACCAGCAAGGTGAGTGCATCCCCAAAGGGGACTCCAGACACCCACCCAGCACCGGGCCAGGCTGCAGGTTCTGCCAGCCCACCTGCACTGTGCCCATCGCAGCGGGTTTCTCTTTTGCAGCCACCGCCCCGTCATTTGCAGACATGGGGAATGCCATCGACTCGCTCATCATGCTGGGGAAAGGCCAGGGGCAGCAGGAGGACGACTCGATCCTGCTCTCGGAGGAGCACAGCCTGATCCTGACCTGCTGCTGGGTGTCAGTGAAGGTACGAACACACTGGGGCCCAGGAGGAGGCAGGTTTCCACCCAGCAGAGCCAGGCAACCCAGCAAGCCCACACCAGCAACTGGGACAGCTTCCCGGGAGCATTCCCAATGCCTTTGCCCAGGACGAACAAGGGGAAGCCCCATCCAATACCTTGGAGTTGTGCACAGAGCAGCTCCAGCAGGCACTCCCCTCCACACAAGGGCTCAGGAGCCCCCTCACCCCTCTCCCAGGAGCTCCTGTCTCCTGCTCTCCCCTTATGTAGCACAGCTGGTTTCCTGGCTGCCAATAGACTCCAGCTGTGTCCTCTGTGACAGCCGCCTGCCATGGCCTCTGCTCTGCCAGCTCTCGGGTGGCTGGAGCGGTGCCACCCCCTTGCAGCTGGCCGATGACATGCGGTGCTTCCCTGTGACATGAGGCAGGACGGAAACCCAGGGCAGCCCTCCTGCCACCCGCGCAGTCTTGTTGCTGGAAACCGTTTGAGCCCCCGGATCAGCAGAGCACAGGGCGAAGGGGCTGCAGTGGCTTTTGCTGAGGGCTGCAGGTGCCTGGCTGGGTCAAGGAGGTCGTTTGGGAAGGCTTGGAAGGGTCTGGTGTCCTCTGAGCATCACATGGCCACAACAGAGCACGAGTCTGCGCCATGTCCAAGGGCAAGCGAAGACTATGCAGGCTGGTCCTCCCTGCTCTACTGGAGCTCTGCTCCTGCCACCCCAGCTGCAAATGCCCCCAACTTCTCAGGGACTGCCAAGATGAGCAGTCAATCCACAAGGTCACACCAGCCCTCGGTCCCTTGCAGGGAAGTTTTCACCCAAGGTCACCCTGTGCAAAGCCAGGCTGGGTGTGAAATCTGCATCCCGGGGGTGCAGGCAGGAAGGCCCCATGGTGGCAGCTTCGGCAGGTTGTTTCCTGCCAGCCATGGTAGGTTCTGCTGCCCGAGGAGCCTGTCAGGCACCAAACCAAACCTGCCATGCACCTTCCGCACACACAGCCCGGGGACAGGGGGATCGTTCCAACGGCACCAGCTTTTCCCCAACCTTTGGGTTCCTCTCAGGAAGTCGGGCTGCTCTTGGGAGGCCTGGTGGAGCTGCTGCTGTCCCCGGTGCCTGCTGTCCCTGTGTGCCCGCTGCGCCCGGGGACAGGGGGATCGTTCCAACGGCACCAGCTTTTCCCCAACCTTTGGGTTCCTCTCAGGAAGTCGGGCTGCTCTTGGGAGGCCTGGTGGAGCTGCTGCTGTCCCCGGTGCCTGCTGTCCCTGTGTGCCCGCTGCCGCTCACCACCCTGCAGACAGCAGCCAAGGTCTTCCAGGAAATCCTGCTGCGGTGCCGGCACTGGGTGAGGACACGTCCTGCCCGGGGTGGGCTCAGCTCCCCTGCAGCCCCTCTG